GCTTGGCCTGGCCTCCATCGGTTTTGACGGATTTCGATCAGTACTCGGCGACTATTCGTGATGCCGCGTTGGCAGCGCTTGCAGAAGTCGCCGCTCGTTTCCCGTCGCAGCTCCGGGGTGGGAGCGCTGCGCAGCTCCGCGCCCTCCAGGGCTCCCATCCCGAGAAACGCTGGTTTCTCTCCAGCAGCACCTATGGCGGGGGACCACGAGCCTGGCTTCTCCCCAGCGGGCTCTTCTCGGTCCAGGTTCTGCAGTCACCACACGGCATTAACACGAGATGTTCCAAACCCGCCTGGACGCGTTCTTGTGTGATCTGGTCTAAGTGGTCCTGCTCCGGCAGGGGGATTGGACTAGATGATCCTTTGAGGCCCCTTCCAATCCCCGACATTTCTGTGAGATCCACTCCAACAAGGGACTTCCCTCCCCACCACACGCTGGGAATTCGGTAATTCCCTTCGTCTGTAGGACAGGGCAGTCTCAACGCTTGCTGTAGGCTCCAAATCCTGCCTATGGAGAACACACTCATGCCTTCAGACACACACGTGTGCCTATAGATATGGGGCCCTGCCCAGGCACTCTGAGTTAGCAGCAATGATCACTAATTAAACCTCATTCTGCTCCAGTTCATCTCTCAGACACACCCTGCCTCCATCCCAGTACACAAGAACATTTTCTGAGCTTAACCAATCTATAACTAGGCTAAACTGGCTGTTCAGGAGTAATCAAATTAATGTGAACTCCAATGAATGGCAAATCTCATCTCATGCACATGTCAAATGAACAAAAACGCTGAAACAGGATGCAGAATTAAAAACAAAAAAAATCTTCAAATTTAGGCTAATTCTTAGAAAGAGGAAGCTCTTCCATATTATATTTGTGAACAAAAATCTTTGCACTGATGCTGCTTTAAGCTACATAACACTGCTCTGCTGGCACTACTATAATTTCACCACAGGCAAAAGGCAAACTGGATCCTTTGGGGTTTCTGTTAATTAGATGCAGATGGCAGAATTTTTAAACACAAATTCACTGACTCACGGAACGCAAACTAACTTCTCAAGATTGTGGTTCAGCGTAATTTCGCTCAAATGTTTCTAGTCGTTGCACACTGACTGCAGTTTTCTAACAATTCTCATCTAGGGTAGGACAGTTCTGCTTCACGAGCCGCTAGCACAGAAGAGTCTGGCTGGCACTCTGATTGTAGCTGTTCAACTTAACAGTGCTGCTCCTGAAAACTACAAAACAACTTTACAAACAGGTGTGAGGTGTAAACTCATGGTCCTGTTTCACTGCGTTAACAGACACTAACTGTTAGCAATGACTATTGCAAATAACATTTTCTCTTCGAGCTGAAATAAACATCCACTGCTTTTTCAGGCAACAGTGAGCTGTATTTTGGTGTGGGATTTGAGGGTTTTAATACATATGTAATTCTGGTTGGAATTATGACAAAGGGATTACAATGTTGCCACTGGGAGGGGGGTAAAAAGAAAAAAAAAAAAAGCCTAATTCTTTACTGTAGCCATCCAGCCCGGTTTACAGAATACAGTAAAAAAATTACCACATCAACATTTACAAAACCAAACCCAAACTTCTTCAAAACTGGCAGTTTAAGAGTATGTGGAACCTCATTGATACAGCCACAGGACCTGACTGCGTGGTACGCAGCCAAGTTTTCAAGAACAACTCCATTAAATCTGCAGGCAATGTTTTCTTCTGGTGGCCATTAATGTTTTTCCCTACCCCCAAGGGAAACTAATGGGACACTTTAATTACTAGAACATATTCAAAACTATATTGCAGTATTAGTATGTAGATATAGGACAGATTTAGATGACAACATTTTACAACTTGGTAAAATACAATCTCCCTGAAAAATAATAGTTATTAGAACACATTGTCATCGAGCCTGGTCATCCAGGTCCTGTTTGCAACTCTGCCCCTGGTTTAAAGTGGGACTTTTAGCAAAACAGTTGCATTTGTTTCCCCGCCTGTGAGTTGGCAGCTACCAAAACTTCTCTTCCTCATACAACTGAGGACACACAGAATCAAGTTAAGCTCTGGTGCAGAAGCAGAGACATCCAGTGAAGACAGTTACGTCATGGATTAACTTTTCTGTTTGTAAAGTGCGTGGTATAATCAGCATGTAAGGAAAAATGTACTGAAAATGAGCCCTTTGAAAGAGATGCAGAGTGAGAGCAGAATGTCTTGCACTAAGGTTATGTATTTAACAGTTTTACATGAAATATTTATATATAAAAACTTTGTTAAGTGCTTTTCTCCAATTTAAAAATCTAAAGGATTCAAAAATAAGGCATTCAATATTTGAAAAAGTACAGATTTACAAAATGTGTATATTCCGTCATGAAAACTCCACATCAACATTATACACTTGGAAAAAAAATACAAACAGGATATATTACAAATTTATGTAGCAATAACTTAGTTCATACCATGCAATAAAAAGTACGTTAATCAAGATACACAAGCTTTTAAGTTTCCTAAACTGGAGGGCTTAATTTTGTTTGCAGATGAGTTTTTATGCAAATTCTTAGAACTGTGGCACTTGAAATTTCTGGTAGCTTTGCTATTGAGAGTTAAATTGTACATAATGATCATGAGGATGAAGAGTAACACAGCAGCTGTTACGAATCATTCCAACTTTGTTCAACAATAGCTGAAACTCTTTTCTCATATTCACGTTTGTTCTCCTGATAGAGTTGTGCTGCCTGGCTGTTTGCTGGACTGTTTGGGTTAGGTTCATCAAGCAGAGACTGTAAAAAGGGGAAAACAAAAGATGAGACAAACCAATGCATTTTAAATCAAGGTAAAAATCAACTTGCAGCTTTCAGATCACATCTGTTTCAGGAGGCAGACATGACTCAGAAGAGCCCAATTGAAAAAAACCCAACAGTTAAAGTCATGGTTAGGCACCCATAATTGCACTCCTGAACCTCAAATTATACATTGCATAAGCATTAGCACTGTGTACACTTCTAGGTTCACAAACCTAACAGATATATGCTCATTTGTGCCAATTAGCAGTATGATGCTCATTTATTATTTGGTAATTACACTACTATTGTCATTCGGGTCTGAAGAGGGGCTTAAGATGCCTCCTACAAAACTTCACCGTAGAAAAAAAGAAAAACAATCACACAGGAGAAGAGAAAATGTACATTTTTGCTGTGTCAGTCCATTTTTACTTATTCCAAGTAAAGTAGGTTTCAGCACTAATGTCTCTGTGAGGACTTCATCAGGCAAGGCTTCACAATAAAGGTTAGTGTTTCAAACACTAGGCATATTTCTACATCTCCTGTCCTATCTTGGCTAAAAACAGTTAAAAAGGAATCCAAATCGGTAATTGTTTTCCTATAAAAAAAACATATAATGGCAGTTCTGTAGCTCAAAATTAGTAATTACATGGGTCAGCACCTTAGACTTTGGTCTAAAAAGCTACTGCTTAGCTTACAGGTACTTGAAGTCCCCCTTGATACCGGTACTGGGCTAGTGCCATCACTGAGCTGTGCATTCTGGAATAAAGACTAACAACAACGTAGCTATTTGCTAAACTAGATGCAAAGTTACCTGAATTGAAGTTAAAATAGATGAAACGTCATATGTTGGACTCCAACGATTCTGAAGAATATCTAAACATATGCTACCATCCGCATAAACTGCAAATACAACATAGGTATCGTTTAGATATCATCAGATTTATTTTATAGTTTGTTAATTACATACTGTTCGAGGCAGAGTTAATGTTCCAACTCAGTCTGTGCTTAAATTAATGCTTTAGGAAAGAGGACAGCAGTTGTCTGGCAATCTTCTGTAGAATCATAGAACGGTTTGGGTTGGAAGGGACCTCAAAGACCATCTAGTTCCAACTCCCCTGCCATGGGCAGGGACACCCTCCACTACACCAGGTTGCCCAAAACAAAAACCCTGTCAGAGGCACGCTGGCCTGCACGTTTATACGTGACAGATGGGTGGTCAGACAGCACTGTAAAACGTCACAGAACCGATGCCGAGGTCACCTCTGTTCAAGGAGAGCTCAAGCTGCAAGAAACGCTGCAACGGGCTTATGCTTCAGCCCTCAAATTGAATGTACAGCCCTTTGCTATAGAGGGGCTTCGGAACGCAAAAGGCAGGGTTTGTGTTCTCTGCATGCGAGAACAACTGGATAAAGCCTACCAAGGGCTGGGGCAGGAACCATGGCACTCTCCCACAAGGCTGCCCTCGTCGCTGAGTTGGGGTCGGGACCTCCTCTGCGCTCCCCAACGACTGTGCATCCTCACCTTCTTCCTTGTGCCAGTACTGGTCAGTGCAGCGAACCAAACAAAGGCATGGACTTGGCTGCACTCTCCCCTGACAGAAACCAGTAACACCTGGCTCCACCAGTTCCCTACTCCAGCTCACCACGTGGCTGCACAGACGTGATCGCTGTTACATGGAAGGGGAGAGGAATCCACAATCAGAAGTGACTCTTTAAGCCAACCTAAGTGCAGCTGCTGCTGAAAACGCTCACAGGCTTTGCTACTGAGGCTGTATATTGATTAGAAAGAGACAGATAGCTGCTTCTTAATAGCATCATAATTCTTAATTTTTCATCACGTGGTTGCTATCCTAGGCCTCTACTTAGGAGGTGGCAATGGAGAGAGATGGAGAGCTGTTAAGTGTTCTGGAGCTTCACAGAATATATGACCACACCATAATATTTAATGGGTATTATGGCTAAATAAAAATGATTTACTCACCATTTGGATGGAACATTTTTGATAAAAACCTAACAGTTGGAGGCTTGTTGGGATATTCCTCTGAAAATTCTATTACTAGTTTAAAAGTACCTGTCCAAACAAACATAAAGACAATCAGATAATTAACAACAAAAGAACATAGTAAGTTAATTTATGTGCTGCATGATCAGTGTTTCTTCACACCCTTACATAAACAAACACTGAGCCTGGTTTCTTTGCTTACACTTCAAGTGATAAGGGAAATACTACTTAGTGATAGTGAAAAAAACAGCACCAGCAGGTAGAAGCCTGGAGACTCACTATAAACATCAGTTATCCCACTGCCCTCCCCTTTTTCTGTGACCCAACTTGCCCAGTTCCATGGACTTTGGTGACTTTAAGGTGTTTCATTAAGGAGACACTGCGGTGCCAGCAAAGAACCCCTGGAATTTCATAATCAGCAATTTCAGTCTTCGGAGCTCCTGACTGCTTCACTGAAAACCTTTATTATGGATCAGTGAATAATTTACTGAAATTCCTCCAGCCCAACACAGAGAAAAAGCCATCTGCTGCTGATTACTGCACTAATACTGTAATTATTAAACTCATTATTCCTCATATGCCTAAGGGCGGTTCATTACACACCAACTTTCATGTTTATGGACAAATTTGGTATTCCCTCCTCCTCACTGAGTTCTAAATCCAGAACAATTCAAGATTTTTCACCTGTTCTTCATTAGAAGACCAGAGATGAATCAAACATGCCACAGAGATGAAACCCGAAAAGCACCCTGTCTTGTTGAGCTTAGCTATGGAGATGTGAAAACACATCTGGCAGCATGAGACCAACTTCCCCCTAAAAACTCTAGTGTTCCACGTACAAACAAGTCTTGATGTAAGCACTGCTTCATGGCTTTCCAACCAACCATTGACCACTATGGCAAGACACTGATTACATCAAAACACAGTATTTTTATAGCCAACAAGGCCTTACTCCTTCACTCTTCTGCTTGCTTAGTTTGTCCCAAATTATACACAGATATCAACTATTATTTTTCAAAGCAGAACAATGTTAATACTGGCAATATTTGTAAGAATGACAGAGGATGTAAAAGTTATCGGCTTACCGTCTTCAAAAGGCGTCCCTTCTGGCCTGAAAGATTTCAAAAATAAATTCCAGTTAAAAATGATCATTACCTACTTCTGAACAGGCACAATAAATTCCTATCTTCTTCCTCATCCTCCCCAAGACACAAGTAGAGGCAATAATTTAAATATTTAGAGAGGTATCCAGAGGCAACCCCCTGAAAGCTTTGTCATACTTCAGCCACTTTCCCGTAGTCGACCTGCGAGGTGAGATATCTACTTTATCATCATCCCAAACAATACATATGCCACTAATGAGCAAATTACTAGCAAGCATACTTCAGCTTTATGAGAGGATACTGAGCCAGTTCCTGTTCTGTAGGATATGTAGTGTAACTTCCTAGACAGAACCTGCACCTCGTTCCACTGGGAATCAATCCAGTCACCGCTAACACATCTGGATTTAATGGCCGAGAACATGTGGCTCTTATGTACTTTAAAGAGGAAGCCTGCTTTTTCATAACTCAACTCCTACACAGTCTAACATATTTATTAAGCCATATGCAGGCTCTGTGCAACAAAAAAGACAAACAAATTTTGTGTTTTTCTTTCCTATGCATTCTGTATTACCCCTGAAAACAGATTTTTACCGCAACGGCATACTTGGTCATTTTTCTAAGGTTCCTGACTTTATGTACGTAAAAGAAGAGAATAATTTTAAAAAACAAACCCCAGGTTTTCTTATATTTAGCCCCTTGATATAGAATTTTATAGTGATCAAAAACTCTTACCCAAATATAACTGCATTCCATTGCATTATATTGTTCTCAGAAGGTGCACCACTGACACCCACAGGAGGGTCTTCTTGCAACCTGAGAATTACAAATACAGAATGACAAGCCTTATATAAATGAAATACTTCCACCTGCAAGTATAGTTTAACAGTTAATATCCAGATTTTGTGAGTATTTTCTCATTCCAAATCAGAGAACACACAAAGCACTGTATGCAGATTATCAACACTCCAAAAGACAAACCTAGAAGACAAGGCACATCAAGATTTTCTCACGTATTACACCAACAGCCTACAACGGCCCAACAGGTACGATTGGGCGTGCAAGGAGCAAAGCACCAACTCCAAGAACAACTTAAAGCACCCTGTCCAGCTGGGATTTACAGCACTACGCAGTGAACTACGAAAGAGCAATTGCTGCTGGCTGCCACAGTGAAGAGAATGAATTGCAAACAGGAGCCGAGAAGCAGCCAATGACACCCAGCAGACTTGCTGGAACTCGGCATGAGGGACTGTCAGCGGAGCTTTTCCTGCATTCCCAGATCCATGCCTGCCATGTGGCTAAATTCGGTATGAGCCTATTTTGACCCGCAAGCCGACTGTGTCAAAAGTGAGCGAGGGGAAAACCTGTGTCCCACCCCCTCTCACCAGTTCAACAAACGTGTTTATCTCTAAAGTAATCGTGGAAGCATTCTAAACTATTTTTAGTTCCTTAATCCTTGGCCTAGGGAAAAGCATGTTACTTACCAAAAGCAACATCAACTCGGACCAGAAAGAAATATATCTCGCAACCAAAGAAGAGGATCCAGATACTCTCCTCCTTATATCAATATTTTTGCTTAAGAGTCTCCTAAGACCCCGAATGACAAAAACGAGGAAGCCTCCATCACCCGATGAGCAATGTGCCCGATCAAACCCCTCCGGAGCAGCTCTGACCTACACGGCCTCTGGAGTTACAACACTCGAGAGCTGCCCCCAGTACGCGGCCAGTACGTCCTCCTGCGCTCGCGCTGCCGACGCTGGTGGTAAAACCGCGCGCAGATCTGGACACTGAGCCAAGACGTTGCCCTCCAGAGCCAGCCCAGAAGCAGGGCTTGCTCCGTGTGCAGCTCAGGTCCTCTCTGAACTCTGTTTACACCCTTGCTCTCCAAGCACACGCAGTTCAGGCAGCTTAACATCAACAGCATAAACCACCTTCTATTTTGGTCTGGGAAAGCAGGAACGGGATTTCTCCATGTGTGCCAGCCAGGCTGCATGCCAGTAAGAAGCCTGAGCGCTCAGCCTGACAGATGCACCTGAGGATGGCTTTGGGTTTTAGATCAACTCAACAACTCACGTGCACCCTGTTGTCAAAGGATCCAACTGCAGAGAGGTTGTGGCACAGACTGGAAATTAGACTGACCCAAACACGGCCTGAAAAATCTTTATCAGCTAGGGAAAAGATAGTATATATAGCTCCTTTTCTAACAACAATGAAAAATTGACTTATTTTTCTGTTGGCTTGATCAAACAAATCAGATGAGATACAAAAATCTGTTCTCTCTTCACTGCTCTTGACAATCACAGTGAGCAAGAGGAGTTTATATTTAATAAAGCGAATCAGAGTTCACAGCACACAGTCTGCTTTTTCAGTATGAAGTACAAGTAACATAAGGCTAAGCAAAAATATAATTTATTGTAAGAAAGAAAAGTAAAAAAAAAATTAAATACTTGCATAAGTTTTGAGGTACTAAAGCTGTCATGTATTTGACAAATAAGTTTTATTTACTTTGTGTTTATTTGGTTATACTTTTCCACAGCTTTAAAGTCTTCCCCCCACCTTAAATTTCAAAATTATTAAACCAGTCCTTCTAAGATTATAAAATCATAAAAAAATGTGTCTGACTGCAATCCTGAAAAATTACTTAGTTCCTGACCCTGAAAAAAAAACACTGGTTCATATCACCTGTGTAACCAAATACAATAAAAAAGACCGAATATCCTGTTTTGATCCGAACAGGAATCAAGCAACACCCGCTGAGCAAACACCGACACCCAAACACGACACAAGCAGCAGGCTCCACGTCGCAAAAATGTTTTCTAGAGTCACAAACTGGGCTTTTACCACTGCAGAACCACACGCAGTCCCGCAAAGCAACTACAATACGTGCCAACTGTTTACTGATGTATTTTCAGGTGCTGGTGTATCACAGCTATCCTAAAAAAAGAGCCACTATCAAAGCTGACTCACCTCCAGCAACTTATGAGCGGTTCCCGTCCAGAGAAATCTCACGACGTATTGTAAAGGTTACGAAAGAACACCCGCCTTCTCCACACTCTCTAAGTGTGTTTACACATCAGACTGGAAACGAATTATTCTAGAGTCTGTAGTTCAGCCACTAACATTTACAAGTGCAACTAATAACTGCTTCTTTAGTAGTTTGTATCTATTACACAAAAGATTCCTTACAATTAAAAAGCTTAGGCAGAACAGCATGCACATAAAAACATTAAAGGGCATTTTGCCATTTATTACACGCGGACAAACGAAGCGTTTGCTAATTCTTTGTGCTCCGTTTTCAGATGTCCATCCTGAAGACTTACTGTCAGCCCAACAAGCCCCAAACACGTCCGAATTCCGGCTGGTCTGTGCAGAAAACTGGGCCCAACACCTTCGCTGTGCGCGGACGGGGAGGGGGTGCGGGAAGCATGGCATCGACACTCCGCATCCCACCGGCACGCGCCCCGAACACTCCCGACCCCCTCGCTCGCTCCGCGGCCGGAATCCCGCCCGATT